GACATTTGAAAGTTCAACATATAAATACAGAAAACATATATTTGCAGTAGATTATGGCTTCAGGCTCTATTCATACGCTGTTATCTTTCAGGCCACTCTGTCCTCTCTGACTCGGAACGCATTGTCCAGAGAGCTGGACTCCTACAGTGAGGTGTGTGAGGCACTCAAGATCGCTGAGCTGCTCCTGGGTTTCCTCTCAATGACTGGTGGGGACCCCATGATGTCACTGGTCACTTACCTCCAGGATATCTTGAAGATGGTTCAACGCATCGATAAACACATATTGCAGGTGCATATGCAGCCTCTATTTCTGGAGCGATAGTTAAGGTTTCCCTTAGCTTAAGAAAGGTTACTTTATGTCAGTACAAATTGGGCGACAATCACTTCCATTCTAAGCACATAAATAGGATGCTTTGCTTCAGTGTTCATTTGGTTCACAACTATTGTTTTAAGACTGACTTCAAAATGTGTAAAAGTCACCATTAATGCATACTTTTCGGGGTTGTTGGACAAAACAGCTCTCAAAACAAACTTAACATGCCACTTTACTGAATAATTTATCATTTCACTAACCTTAATAATCTACACAAGAAAAACTGACATTTGAAACATTAAAGAAAATATTTATTAAATAATATCAATCATCCAAATAAAGTGGAAATAAGGTAAACATTGAATATAGAGCTTCTAAAAAACGTGTCTTATCCTAAATACATTGCCAAAACCTAAAAACACAAGAAAACTATAGATTAAGTAAAAAGAAAAAAAGATGTATAAAGATTCATTGTGTGCTTTCAAAGTGTATAAGACAGCCTCTTAACTGTGCTGTGTTATTTCTTCAGGCTCTGGGCAGATGCAATCTCAGACACTGTGTTTCTCTGTGGCAACTCCTCTCCTCCCTCAGATCGGAAAACATGCTGCGTCTCAAAAGGGTAAGTGTTAATCTTGTTGCGTTTATGGGGCTGGGTTAAGGATCAAATAAGAGCACTGAATAGAAAATCACTAAAAAGAAAACCTGGGCACTAGCTTCATGTCTTTTGCCATTATGTTCCATTTATAAATATTGCAGTCCACTACGCCTGTTTATCAAAGAATACTATTTATTTTTGGGCTAATTTCAGAGTGTACTTCAAACAAGATATTTCACTCAGAATATACAGTGTAATTTAACACAAACAAAATACCTCACCCCATGTTTCTATAAAAAGGAGCCCTTTTCGGGGTATCCGTCAGAGTACCTGATGCCGCTGACAGAGGAAAACAAGACTGAGCTGAAAGGCTTCGTGTCCAGAGGAAATGTGGACCGATGGCTTCTTGAGATGCACGAGTTCCTCCTGCTGAATCTGGGCCGGCCAAGGGCCATCGGTGACTTCAAACCAGCCTGGAGGTAATCCTGATAAACTACATATGTAGTTGTTAATGCAACTGTTCCTCCCAATATCCCTGAAAATATTATGGTCAGTTCTGACAAATATTATGCAGCCAAACATCGTTTGAATTCACTTTTCATCCCAACGTAGATCTTGTGCAAGATACATTTCAAATATGTCAATATTTAGAATAATGCAGCTTTAAAAAACATGGGATCTTATGCTTGAAAATGTCAATCAATTCAAAAGAAATGTTGACACATATCTCTAGATTGTGCATTGCCCCTTCCTACATATATGACAATGTCTACATTCAATTCTTCAAATTAAAGTTATCTTAATGCTTTCTTGATAATGACTGTGGTATTTGTTGAATTCATTAATCAAGAGTCCATTACTATCACGCTTTGTTAAATACAGTAGTGTTTGAGTAGATGTATCCTTGGTTTAGGTATTAAAGATATCCTCAACTGGCCTGTGTTGTACTGATGTACCCTACTGGCACAATTAACCTAGTAAAAATATTACATTTAAAAAAGAAATAAGCCCTCAGAATGTAGTAGTCCCTTAATAGGGAAACAAATATATATTTTGAACTTGCTTAATTAATTCACATCGTTTTGGTTCAATTAATGTTTACAAACTTGAACAGCCTTGTCCTAAAGAGAGAAGTAAAAACATGTGCTGCGTGGTTGGCGTTCACAGCCTTGGCCAGTCAACAGTAAATGTAAATGAAAGCATAAAATAATCACTTTGAAAAAACCACCCTGATATTGGCACTGAACATTTTTGTTTCTGTAAGTTAACAGGGTCCTTATCATCACACAAACCTTTTCCTTTTGTATAGTGTTAAAGAGACGGTGTGTGCCTACATGGACCGTAAAGAAGTGGAAATGCCTGCTTATGTGGAGGAAAGGTTTCCTGCCAATCTCATGATGTCCCAGATTGTGGAGACGTGGAAATACGCCGTCACAGCCAAGCAGGACTTGATGCCTGAGGGATGGAGGACTTAAGAGACATTTGAGTTTATCTGGTTAATCATACATTGTCAAAACCAAAAATGTTGATTTTACTTTTTCCTTTGTTTTTATTGGTTTTTATTTTATAACTTAAAAAATACATTGAGGCTAAACATACTTTTTTTATTTGATCTTTTCTCAGGATATGTATTTTAGTATTGACCACCAGAATCTCAGAACGTTTCTGCCTAGTGGTATAAGGAATTAGTGCAGAAGAAATATGAATCTTTACATTTTATTTGTTTTAATCAAATCTTGCTAACGATATGCCTGCAACAGATGGGATAGTTTTTTTATTTGCCTTTTGTTTCTGTTTGTATGGATTTTTATGTGAAAGTTACGTGTGAAAGACTAAAAAAGGAACCTAAACCTTGAGGCCCTTAAAAACAATGAAGCACACCGAAACTGAACTTGATGAAATGCTGCCGTAAAGCTTTTCATTTACTATGTTTTGTCAATCTATTTTGAATCTATCTTAATCATTTGAAGGATAACTGTCTGAGTTGACAGAATGCCAGGATCTACTCAGGAAATGTTGATGTATGACTTTGAGTATTTACTTTGTAACTGTTTCACTTCATATTTTTCAGGATACTTTTTACATTTTTGGACCAGCATTTATTTGACCACCAGAATCTCATAACTAATCTACATGGTGGTATAAAAAAGTAGTACAAAAGATATATGATAGGCTACTCCGCATTTTTTTCATTTCTTAGACATTTTAGTAAATATAGCTGAAAGTTTGTTTTCTTTGTATTTTTTATAGATTTGTTTGTGATAATTATGTCAAAGACTACCAAACATACCACAACTGGTGGATTTGAGGAAATGTTAATGTTTTTTTCCTATACATTTTTTTACACATATTTTTATTTTGACCAGCAGAATCTCATATCTTATCAGCATAGTGGTATAATAAACCAGTGCAGAAGGAATATTATACTTTACTTTTTGAATTTCATTTTTATATTTCCGTTTCTGCCTTTTCAATTTATTATTTAATTAGCCTTTTTTTGTTTTTATTGTGATGGTTTTTCTATAAAAGACAAACAATTCAACTAAACCTTGAGGCTCTTAAAAAAAAGGAAGCATGCCTAACGCTGCCTTAAACAGTTTTACTGTAATCATGAGCAAGCTGTTCATTTACTGTGTTTTCAATCTATTGAAATCAGTTCAAGGATAACTGTCATTTTTCACTTGGAAAGAATGTCAGGATCTACTCAGGAAATGTTGATGTATGACTTTGAGGAGTATTTGTAAGGACACATTTTACATTGTTGGACGAACATAATCTCATAGGCAATCGGCATGGTGGCATAAAACATGTTTTTATTATTTCTTAGACATTTACTTAATATAGCTGACAGTTTGCCTGTTTTTGATTTTTACTTTAGGTTATTTTCTTCGCTTCTTTATTAGACTTTTCTGTGATAAGTATATGTTAAAGACTACCTTGAGGAAATGTTATCATGAGCAAGCTGTTCATACTCAGAAACATGTTATTGTATGACTTTGGCAAGCATGTTTTTGCACAGTTTAACTGTTATATTTGATGTTTTGAAGTATTTCTCTTTACATTTTTGGACTAACATTACAGTATATCACTCTTGACCACCAGAATCACATAATTAATCTGCATTGTAAACTAGTGCAGAAGAAATACGTGTCTTCACATTTTGAACATCATTGTGTGTTTTGATGTTTTTTCCTCTACTTTTGACCACCAGGATCTCAGAACTACTGGTATAATAAACTCGTGCAGAAGGACTATGATACCTTACTTTTTGAATTTGATTTTTAAAATGTCCTTTTCTGCTGTCAATTGAATAGAATTCATTGAAAGAATTGAATTTCTGTCTGAGGAATATGTCAGGATCTACTCAGGAAAATATTGATGTATGACAAGCATATTCTGTGTGTAAGTGTTTCATATTATCTTTTTTAATATTACTCTCTACATTTATTTTACTTTATACCACCATTTATAATCTGCACGGTCGTACAATAAAGTACAACCAAGGAAATTCCCATGGCATGTTGTTTTTTATATTTCTTTGACATTTTAGTAAACGTAGATAGTAATTGATTGTCTTTGATTTATCTAATATGCTTTACCTGTGAGGTCACTAGTTTTTATTAGGTACATATCCCAAAACAGGACTGGTCGTAACGCTCGAGTGTTTGAAATCAAATTGATGGAAACCAGGCAAAATGTTGGAAATCCTGGATATGGCTTTACTCTTAGATTCAGAAAATCGTCCAGACTTTAAACATGTATCTTTAAAGCTGTCCATAATAGTCCTAAATTGTGACTTTGATCATTACCCAATTATACAGAATATTTTACATGTAGATCTATTTGTAATTCATACTAAATGGAATTAATTATTATTTAATTCATTCAGTTCTGCTTCTAGTTTTTTACTTTAAAACCTACCGTTCACTTAACCTGCATGGACAGAAATCACTTATTGTAATTTCCATTCAGTTAAAATTGCAAACATATTGAAGAAACAGGAATGAAGATCAATAAAATATTAGTTTGATTCCAAATAGTTTTGACTGACACAAAAAAGCTGACAAAAACATTGCCATAAATGAAAACGACTGCCTAACAAAAGTTGTTTTATTCTCATGTAAATAAATTACATTATTTTTTGTTACAAAAATAAAATGAAACCCAACCAACATGAACCAAACTTATGCATTTCAGACAAAAAAAACGTGAATCTGGAAATCGGACGATCATAATGTGTCTGACACATGCTTTAACAAAAGTTTGACTTCTCAGGGACTGAATACCTCTCCCCGTCTATTGACCCACCTGTTGTGATCGGACCATAGGCGCAGACAAACCACAGAACATCACAAACAACACAAGAGTAAAGAGCAAGTTAAAAAAGGAATTTGTGCAACAGAAGTTGGGGTTGGGCCGTTTGTTTGCCATGAGAATTACACCTGAGGAGACAAGTTGACAAAACGACAACTAAAAGCCTCTACCAGTGTAACAACTGAAGGAAAACTGATTTTAGATAACACAATGTGATTGATGACACAAAAGGTTTTTGCAAAGTTGTAATGACACAAGGACGATACTAAAGCAGTCAGCTCTTACTGATACACTGGTATATGATCATACTAAAAGAAAATGTTACACCAACTTGCAGATACTAAAAAACTAAATTCAGTGCAAACGCACAGCTTCTCTTAACGTCTCAGTGTGATTTCTGCAGTGCTCCGTCCAGGCAAACATCACAGCAGAAGGAAACATTGGAGTTACATTTAACTTCATGTACTGAAGGAGAAATCACTCAGATTATAGGATGTTGAAGGTGTAATGTTCACTCAGTGCTGGTTCTTCATGCCCTGTGGTTTGCCTGGTTTCTTATCCTGCTGCAGCTGCAGCTGCTGCTGCTGGCCTCGGCCCGGCCCAGACATCCCTCTGCCACGACCGCCAAACAGACCTGACAAGAGACATGTATAAATACAAATGAATGCTACAATATTTTTGTTACTGTATGACAAAAATGTACGTTTCAGTAAATAAATAAAACGTAGAATCTCATAGGTAATCGGCACGATGGTATACATTTTTTAAAAAAAAATGATTTTAGACATTTTACTTAATATAGCTGACAGTTTGCCGGTTTTTTATTTTTACTTTAGGTTTTTTTCTTTGTTTTTTTATTAGATTTTTCTGTGATAAGTGTTAAAGACTACCTTGAGGAAATGTTGTCTTTAACAAACATTAAAGTACATGACAAATATAGAGAATGCTACAATATCTGTGTTACAGTATGACAAAAATGTACGTTTCAGTAAATTAATTAATTAATCACGTCTTTAACTTAAAGCCAGGTTTTGCTATACAATTACATTTCTCACCTTTTAAACCTTACAATGCATTCTGAGATTTTATTTACACATGTTAAGGGCTAGACTTGATGCTCCTGAGAGTGTGTGGACTTTATATTATGAGAAATTAGGAAACTTAAACTGTCATGGCAATATCAATGTTATGACCAAAGGCACAAAGAAAGCCGTTCCACTCACCTCGGCCGACTCCTCCTCCTCTTCCTTTGCCCTGCTGTTTGTTCTGCTGGGGGCCTCCACGTCCGCGGCCCTTCGACACCACCTCCTCCTTCACCATGTCGATGATCTCATCGGGGATTCGCAGGTACTTGATGGTACTTCCTCTGATGTAGCACTCAGGCATCCTCCAGAACTTATCTCCATCCTGTTAGAGTGGAGAGGGGCTGTCAATGCATTCTAATCTTAATTGTACTTTGTATAGAAGGTATGCACAACCAGCTTCAGTCTATAGCTTTGGTCTGAAGAGGAGCTGTATGTAAGGTTGTGCTGTTTTAAATAGTTATTTAGAGCTGCGAGGATTAGTTGACTTTAATGTTAAGATGTTCTGCTTTTTTCCACTAAACTGAATATCTTTGGTTCTGACAAAACAAGGCATTTAAAGGCATCACCTTTGACTTGAGACTAGGATGGACATTTTTAACTCGTTTTATATAAACCTATAAGAATCAGCAGTTAATAATGCAATTAATATAGAAAATAAATGTAAGCTGCAAGCCTTGAGTGTGCCATTCTTTGTTTTCAGTTTGTGTCCCAAATGATTTGTGTAACTGTTTACATGTCAAAAAACAAACTAAACTAAATAGGAGAGATGCTTTATAACAGTCAGTAGCACTGCGTCTAAAGTGTTAGTGATGGCAGAGACGTGAGACCAGAGCTCAGCTTTACCCTCGAGGTGCAGATGACTTCTCTCAGGTTGATGTTCATCCAGTTGTCACAGCTGACCAGGTGACCATTATATGTCTCTCCATTTTTCAGCTCCACCAGCTGAAGAGAGAAGGGACATATAACACAACTTGTTTTAGAGTCCAGGCTACAAATTGCAGGCTGGATGAAAGATACTAAAGCACAAGTCATGGATAAAACAACTTATAATTACGTCACAGTTAACATGCCAAATAATTCATGAAGTAATGTAAAGATAAAAGAGTGAAATAAGTTGCTGTCCCATCTGCAGCCATAACATGAAGGCTTCAGTGTCTTCTCACCATAGGATGGTTCTGGGCAGTCTTAAGCAGAGATAGTGGAAGCTGGAAAAGGACAGAAAAACACATATCATACCTTGATAAAGATTCATGAAAATAAGCTATAAGTTACCTTATGGTATTAAGTGTTCAGTGTTAAAACATTTGTAATTTGAAATAGTTGTAATATAATACTTTGCCATAAATTGAAAATTAATACAAATTCGTTTTGTATTGTACGTCATTATAATATCCTCGACCAGTGATTTATCTGGAGTGTTTAAACACTGTTTATCATACACTGTCATGTGCGCTAACTCGCCATATTTACCGCAATGAGGCAAAAACATACTTTTTTTCGAGTTTTAAGTAGCAAGCTCACAACTTTGGCACAATATCAACTTTCTCTGTTGCTGTATGTAAAGTCTGCACGCATTTTAAAACAGCCACTTTGTCAATTATGTTTAGTTTAGATTCCGTAACGTAAGCTAATTTCACTTGGCTAGCACAGCATTGTGTGACCCAGCGCTACAGAGCTGCTAACAGTTAGCTGAGCAGCAAGCGTGCCAACGAAAACCTAAAAAGGTAGCTATTAACGTGTTATCGTAACAGTATAAATTAAATACTCACCATTGTGATAGTATGTCTTTATTGTTTTGTGTTTCACTTTTTGTCTAGGCCCTTCGCTGACACGAATTTACAAAACCTCCTAATGTTCTTCTTCGTCTTCTTCCTTATTTCCGGCGGTACGGTGTGTGATAACGGCTGTATTATAAGATGCTGCCCTCTGCCGTCAACAGCAGTCACTGCAATGCAATCAAAATATAGAATGAGTGCCTGAGGTTGGTGAAAAAAAGTCTATGATTGTCCTTTTAATGTGTGCTCCAGAAATAGTCAGACAGACAGAGCAACCATACAAAAATGTGTTACCCATTGCAGTAATCTTTTAAACGACCCATAAACAGTGATTCAGAAGCGGATTTTGAAATAATGTTCAGCTTTGTTGACAAAAGAAATACAAAATCCAATTAATTAATGAACCAATATTAATATGAATACTTTTTGAGAAACGGTAGGAGATTAAATAAAACATCTCATATTAACTATATGGGCACACTTGAGGTTTATAGTTTGGAAAAAGTCAACATATTTTCTTATTCTACCTTTAAAAGAGCTTGAAAGCGTGACTTTATGGATATGATATTTCTTCAGTTAATGTAATACATTTAAATAAACAACGTTCTCGTTTTGGTAACATTTTAAATCCAAGGTTTCTTGTCTAAAATAATATTTGTATTGGGTATCAATTCTCATGTTGTCGCTCATCACCATATTGCTTACGTAATGACGTCACGCCTGACGCAGCCTACAGGCAGCAGCAGGCCGGTTGTTTGGTGTCTGCCTGTCTGGCAGACGGAGCCGTCAGCTGTGGAGCGAACTGTCTCTCTTTGCGGTCCTGGTTCACAATAAAAACCAGAAAAAAGGCAGAGGATACTCTGCAACAGGACGGGAGATGGACAACAGTAAACGGACGGTGGTCGTTACAGGTTAGTTGTTTTTTCCCAGCCATTGTTGTCGTGTATGCAGACTGAACATCGGGGAAGTGGAGGAAAAGTTGTGGAGGTGACAACTGCTAGCGTTAATGGCGTCAGGCCGTTACTGCTTCACTCCGCTGCCAGACAGTTTAAAGACACGTTTTGCTTACTAGTAATATTAACAACAACATATCAGGTATTTAGTATGTTTTTTATACATACAATTAGTGTTGCTGATAAGCTAGACGAAATTTTCTTTCCGTTGTTGTTTCCTGTCTTACTTCAAAGGCCAATAGGCCATGTAACGCTAAACACACGTTAATAAACCGAGTTTCAGTACAAATCTAATGGATCAAAGATATGTTTTTTATCTTTCACTTTATTTATGTGTTTCAAAAATAATAAATATAAATAAATTAAAAAAACAGAACAAATGAGCAATGTATACAATTGTCTAAAAGACTCTTCTTAGGGAGGTATTTTGTAGTGATCGTGAAAACCTGTTCAAGTTCCTGTTAAAGAAATAGCTGCTGTAGGGCTTTTTCTTCATGGCTTTATGTTAATTGTTTCACAACAGTTGGACTTGTTTTCCTCACCAGGCCTCTGTCCAGACATGGTTTCATTATAGAGCTGGGCAAAGTGTTTCAAATAAATAACATAATAACAAACCAATGATTGTGTACCAGTTATACATATCCTAACAGTATTATGTTCTGTCCGGTGTCTGTGTGGAAGCTCATCCATTTTACACCATATATCACATTGCTTTGCATTATGAAAGTCTGGAAATGTATCTGTTCTTTTTTTGGGCTGTCTCCTCCCATAAAAGATGCTTTATATGATTCATTTTAGGAAACACATTTTGCACAACCATTCATTTAAGAACAAGTAATGTTTACAGAGATATTAAAATATAAGTCAATATTGATGTTAAACTATGGTGTTCTTTTGTTGGTTTACCAAAACAAGACTCACTGCAACTTCAGTTCCAGCCACTTTAATATAATGTTTACTAAATGCACAAACTACAGGCTTGAATATTGAATCTGTGGAGTATAACAGCAGCAGAGAGTTTTCAGACACAAAGGGGTGCAGAAGCTGGCAGTCCCAGCTGATACGAGATGTGTAGATTGCCTGGGAACAGCACCTTCACAATAGCGGGGCGGCTAGCAGCTGTCGGCCCCTCACTCTGCTCCTTTTCAGCTGCCTGTCAGACAGACTGGTCCCCCTCCACCCAACCCCCAGGGCCCCACTGACCCTTGGAAGGGTGGTGGAAGGAGATCAGTTATAGATCCCTATATAAACAAGCCTGAGTGAATATCTATAGGCTGCTGCTGAGATTGTATAGGTCGTATGGAGTGATGCATGGAGGGACTTTTAGAGGAAGTGATTGATTTGAAATTGGCTATTCAACAGAAACCTTAGACATACACATTTCAGTTTTTTTCTGAAAATCTAATATTTTGGAAATGTTAGGTCTGTGTACTTCTCAACTACTTTATAGTACAAATGCAATATGCAGCTAGTAATTTACAAATAACATGTATGACAGTATCTAGCAGTCATATGATAAGACATTTAAATGTATTTCTATTCATACCCGTACAACTACTTAAAGGTTGCAGTAAGATGTATAATAGTATTCTGTTAGTGCAATGCAAGTTTACATAATTATGTGTAGAAACCATAGAGGTAGAAAGCAACCAGACAGCAACCAAAATAACGTACCTGTTTTGCAGGTTTTGGGCCATTTGGAGAGCACACCGTCAACGCCAGCTGGATAGCAGTACAGGTATGTTTTGCCCCTCTATTGCTGTTTGAATTCCCATATTCAATATGTTTTAAAGAATCAAACAGACATCAGTGTGTTTAGGTTAAACCCAGACTGTTTGATTCATCTGTTTGTAATCAAAACATTTTTACAAACAATTTCTTGACTTCGCATAAGTGAAATTATTAATTAACTAGACCTTTTACTAAATGCTTTCTATTCAACCTGGAGTGTTAACATAACCACTGATCACCCCTAAATATGGCATACTAACTAAATTAAGCTTATAATGTTTTTAGTCAAGACCTGACATTGCATACAGTAAGTAGTCTTCATGGTGAATTGTTAATATTTGTAATAAATAAAATAACATATGAGCAATTGTGTCTTTTCGTAATGAGCTTTTTGTGTGGAGCCTGTTTTCGAGGCGGTCACATGATGCTCTGATAGTTACCGGCCGGCTTCTCACCGTGCAGCAGCGTGTCGAGGCTCTCCGTGTTCTGCTGGACAAACTGCATGTGGGGGGTGACAGTGGTTGTCAGGGTGTCTAGACAGACTTGATAAGGATATTAAAGGCAAACAAAAGGCCGCTTTGTGGCGGGGTCAGAGACGTGGTCAAACAAGACTCTCTTCAATAGGTGGGGGTCAGTGTCCAGGGCTGATTGTCCTGCAGGGAGATGGGGGGAGGCGTCAGTCCACTGGCTGTGAATTTGACACAGATTTATCTTACTTATAATATATATGATTGCATCTTTCCCATCTGGCGTTTCTCATACTATTTCAAACAATTGTGTATAGCAGTTTTTTTAGTTTTTTTAAATAATGTTATTTGGAAAGGACAAGGCGAGATGAGAAACTGCAAAAATGTTTACCTTTCGACTCATACCAATTCAAATAAGTATATTATTATCATTGGTTCTGAATAGATTTTTTTTATGGATAAAAAATCTCAAATAACATTTTTAAACAAACATCTCAAAGATTGTAATACAAATGGATATATTTAAAGAGATTTGGAAAAATGTCTATTGTGAAACAAAATAGCTTAAAGCTTTAGATTTAAAAATGAACGCTAACGTGCAAACTAGTGACCCAGGAATATTCAAATGTTCACAGTTTAAGACAACAATCAAAATCCTAATCGAAAGCTGTGCATTCATTTAAAGGGTCTAGTTGAAAGTGGTGACATCACGTTAATGTAAGGTATTTTCCATTGGGTGTCAGTACCCTTAACCCGCCATAGGGCAAATGTAAGGACATATTTTAAGGTAAATTAGCTGTTTTAAGATGAAAACACAGATGGAAAAGGGAAAAAGAAGGTTGTTGTAATTTCTTATAAAAGTTAATAGATCTAGTTTCTCTACGTTATAACATAATATTTACACTAGAATCAAAGTTCCACCATTTTGTCTATTTTTCAAATGAAAAAAAGGATTTCAGCTTTGATGTGTTTGTTCGTCCTGTCAGGAACTGAAGAAGCTCGGACTGGGCAGTGAAGTGGACCTGCATGTGTCCGAGGTTCCTGTAGAGTACCAGACAGTCCAGAGTTTGGTTCCTTCATTATGGAAGAAGCATCATCCACAGGTAAGAGGAGAATGTGAAGTAACCTCTCCACACTATTGCACTTTTAAGACTTGAATACAACATCTCTTGTCTGCCTCAGTTCCATCGTAGGTCTCATTTTATTGCCACAGGATTCACAGGTCTTATGTAAAGGCAAATTAAAAGTATGATTGGATCTACTTCAGGCCCTGAGAACAATCAGATCATGAGACCTGTTGTTGAATTCAATTACGTAAGAAAATGAGAACATTGATATTTGGTTAGAATGGCTCTGTTTAGTGGTTCTTGGGCTCAGACCTTTGATTTGTTTCTAATAAAAGAATAATTAGCTTTAGAGACCTCAGGTGCAAAGAAGCAGAGAAGATGCTGCCACAGGCATATTGTGAATCATTTGTGCTTCTTGACAGTAATATGATGTGAATTCTGATGTGTGTTCTTATTGCTTCCTTTGTCTGCCAGTTGGTGGTTCATGTTGGAGTCTCAGGTATGGCCACCACTGTCACGTTGGAGAAGTGTGGCAGAAATCACGGCTACAAGGGCCTGGACAACAGCAGCTTCTGTCCTGATTCACAGTGTTGCATTGTGGGAGGCCCCGACTGTATCAACTCAGTCATTGACATGGAATCAGTCTGTAAGAGAGTGACCTCCTCAGGGCTGGGAGTAGCTGTGTCTGTCTCCAAAGATGCTGGAAGGTAAGGATTTAGTACAAAAATATATTGTCTGAATAAGCTTTTTGTTTCGCTTCACACCTTTCAGACACACGCTTCAGCTCCTAAAGTGATAAAGCCATGAAAACACATTCATGTCACTTTGTTGAACACACAAATCAGACATCAACTGTATTCACTCTGCATTGAGACCTCCATTCGATTCAACAATTTGCATTAAGTTTGACTGAAAGCTGAAGTGAAACTGTGTGTGAAAGTGGGATGTTGGTGTTTCCCCTAGGTTTACTGCTTTGGGGGGGTGCTGCCTGAGCGTGGGGGGGGCTGGCATTGGGATATATATTTTTTAAATCCTCTGGAGCAGAGAGGAGCTGTGGATTATTGTTATTGATTAATGCATCAGTGTTTCTTAGGGTCAACACCACTAAACTCACAACTTAAAATGAAAGCGTTTAGTTTATTTAATAAAAGAGCACATGTTCAATGTGAAAAGTGACAGTAGATATAGATTAATTGCAATTTGGTGCTATATATATATATAAAAAAATGTTAATACATTTTTTTTTTTAAACACCTTGAATTTCAGGGGGGGCGCGGGGCTCCGTTGGCGGGGCTCCGTTGGCGCAGCGCCCCTTCAAGACAATGGTAGGGGAAACACAATGTTCAAAAAGAAGTCAAATCAGTCCACATTAACCTTCATAAAACACTTAATTAGGACAATTAAGGAATGTAGAATTGGACTGTATTCGTTTTAGCTTGGTGTACTTGAGGAAACTGGTAACTAAGTGTGGCATTATGTACTAGAATTTATTTCACAAACCAGCTGATAATTGTGCTGACACTGATGTATCTGTGATAAACTCGAATCAGCCATGCTTAGATATTAGTTATAATAGTGGTTGGTTTATCTGATCTGATCTTAATATTGCTGTCAATATATATAATATGTTTCCACATTAAAATCTCTTAAAAAAGGACTAGACCTATTTTATAAATGTTTCCGACAAATTTCCAAATCTGTAATTATAATCACGGCAGCGGCCTGTTTGATTTGCTCATCTGTAGTGGCTTCATCCACTTTGAGCATGCCTCCGCAGTGTGGTTGTTTGCCAGAAGATGTCATTATTAGGTTTTAGCCAGATCTTGGTAGCTTTTAATTATACATTTAAAAAGCAATAAGGATGTTGTCATCCAACATCTAGATATTAGGATGTGAAAGAAACAAGCTGAGCAAGATTTTGTGGCATTTGCACAGCATTGAAGAAACACTGATTTTTAATTAAAATTTGAATGTGGATATGGTGGAAACCTCCTGAACAATGAACATCCTAACTGCCTCCTACCCAGTACCACGCTGCCACCAAACTCAGTCTTTTATCATTGTTTAATATTGATATCCCTAGTGGTAGAACAAATCATGTGTATTGCTAATCTATGGGTAAGGTTTGCAGAGATGTACAGATGCTGTCCTTTCTCCCTCAACAGGTATCTGTGTGATTTCACCTACTACACGTCTCTGCACCTGAGCCATGGTCGCTCTGCCTTCGTTCATGTGCCTCCTCTGGGAAAGCCTTACAGCGGGGAAGACCTGGGCCGGGCGCTGCAGGCCATCATCCAGGAGATGCTGGAGCTTATAGACCAGGCCGAAGAGAAAATCCACTGCCAGCAGCAGCACTTCCACTAAGTGACCTCCAGGTGCCAACCAGCCTCTCCAACCCTCACCACAAAAGAGAAATTGCACTTAACCACAAGTAGCCAAACTTCTTCTCTTTTTATTTTTGTCTTGGATAGAAGGAAAACTTCAGTTTGTCTCCAGCGTTTGTCTCTCTTGGTCTTCATGTTTTTCTAGCCCTGACTCAGTTGTGTTTTTTATGTCTCCCGATGGTGAGAAGATATAATGGGAGTCTCAAGCCTAACTGTGCCATTTCACACTTGATGTTGAATTGTTTCTTGAGTCCTTTTTCTTTATAAGAAGTTGATATTTTGCCTTCTTTTACAAAGGTTATTTAATCAGGGAACGGGTTGGTTCCAGCTCATATTCCCCCACAGTTTTATTGGCCCAACTCTGACAAAACAAAAACCCCTCATTGAGACCTGGCCCTTCAGGCAGTGCAATGTTATTTTACAGATCTCGAGTTCAGTGATTTAGTGGTAGGTTTTATAGAATTATATCAGGGCTGCACAATTAGAAAATATAAAGCATTGCAATTATTACCACAGACATTGGACAGATTAAATTAAACACTCTTCTCATGGGAGCTGTGCCTTGAAAGTTGTGTTTATTTAATATAATGACTAATATATTCTTACATCTTTGGATTAAACTTGCAAAAGCTCATGTTGTTCTTATTTGTGCAGCACTCACTTTTATTCCTTGATCAAAAGCTTTCTGTTGCTCCCTTCATTGAATCAGATATAGCTGCTTATTTTACCTGAGGATTTGATTTGATGAAGTTGGACTCTCAGTTCAGAGTTGGGCCTGTCATTTTTACTTCTGTAGCATTTTCTTTATTTTGTTTTTACATTTTTACTTAGTCTGGAATATGGACAGAAATTGTAGCCATGTGAATCCTAGCATTTACCATTTTTATTTTCAGTCACCTTAACTTGGCATATGTAGCTTTCAGACAGATCCATATGTTCTAATTATTATTATTATGCATGTGAGGTATGCTTCGTAGGTGAGTTTCGCTTTATATTCCTGAGCTTTGGTTTGTTTTGACCTGTTTAGCTAAATGCAGCAGATTCCTTCACTGTGTTTGTGATGGTGCCTCTTCCAGTTATATGTTCTGTTTTATGTCTTTTTTAAATGTTTTTCTGTTTCACTGTGTATACCAGCTGAGTCGTCAAAAAGCCTATGTGAACAAACACAGTTTCAGCTTGATCAGATTTACTATAGACTTAATGATTATGAAATGGCCTTCACTTTACTTCAGCACCCTGTGTATCCACAGAAAATCTATTTGTCTGTTGTAGACTTCATAACTAGTCTTGGGAAACAAACTACTTAGAGCTGCAGCAGTCCATTGGCCTTTCGTGAGATTTAAATCAAATGTTTTTTCATCAATTAAGCAAGTTGATCCCACTACATTTGAGTAAATTGACATTATTTTCAGCTGTGTATCATTTGAAATGCCAGCAACATGGTTTGTACCACAAGCTAGCATCCTGGAGCACTGAGCTGAACAGAACTGAAGTTCTTCTCAAACCTTCATTTGAACTTTTTTGTTAAACTAACAACTAAAACAACTGCTTCTTTCAACAACTCTTATGTACTTGTTGAAAGAGGTGAGACAGTGAGGTTGTTGTTCTGAGTTTATAGGTGCTGATATTTTACTGTGTTGGTTTGTGAGTGCTGAGAAGTGAAAAGGTTGTGGAGGAGCTGCCCCCTAAAATGTTGCTCACAAAAGTGAAAGCCTCAAGTTTACAAATGTGATGACCTCTGACCCTGTGCCTTGCTGTTCCTTATGTGTGTTATGAAAAGGCCTTAAAATACTCAGCAGGTCAGTTCAAAGATATATTACTGATGCTGTCCAGTCAGATGTGTGGCTACCTCAAAAACACGTTTTTTTGTATCTGTGTGTGTGTTCTCGTGTACAATAACATTATGGCTCTGTGATTTATTGAGTTTCTCTGTTTAGGCAGAATCCTCTGAGAACTGTCTTCTGCTTCTGACTTTAACAAAGCACTGTTACAACAAGTAATCTTGGCTTTTAAAATGAAAGGCTTTGAAATAAAGAGAGTTGAGTATTACAAGTTGCATATTTGTGTCTCTTATTACAACTATGTCTATTAACTTATCAGTCATATCAAATGCATGTATGTACTTGTCAACTGTGCTAATATAAAGTTGGAAGTGTTGACCTATCATGGAGGATAGATGTCACTATGAAGCAACGCTGTGTCACAGATAATTGGAAGGAAATCTGGACTCATGGTTTACTGTACTCAACAAATGTTCAATGGAAGCAATGTAAGATTGTATATGTTGTGGTCATTCTGCATAACAAGTCTTTTTACTGTTAGCACTTTAAGAAAATGTGTGATTCTTTGGATGCATCACGTTTACTTGTGTAGTATTTCTATACTGTTTGTTTTTTATGAAGGGCAACATTTAGTATGTTGTATTGTTTCTTGTACTAAAGTAAACATTAAACAATCTGATCAATACCTGAGACACTGGGAATATGCCTTTAATTATAAACATGGTTTTCTACAGCATTTACAGTGAAAAACATCATTGCAAGATAGCCACTGAAGTCAATCTAACCATGTTATCAGTACCTTTGTATCATAAGGTTGAAATACCACCAGCAACACATTTAAGTGTTTAATTGTAAAACTAAATAAATAGATATGTTGCACAACTGGCTCTTTGTCAAAATGTAATGTTAAGCACAATCGAGTAAAGAAACTAAATGTCTTTGCAAGATTGATATTTCCTTAAGACTGTCTACAAATTAATTTACCCTGCAGAGGTCTTTGTTGTTTTGATCCCCGGGAATAAGATCAGAGTGAGAGCTCTGTCTCCATTAACGATCGGCTCTACAGTGCGCACGTCACGCGTTGCGCGGCGCAGGGAAGTCCGTCACCGTCTCACCGTCTCTACTGTTGGAGCTTTCGAGGTTCTGATCGGTTCCATTTTTGTTTTTGTTCAAACTCACAATCTGTGCGTCGGCTTCTTAACCAGTTTTCGATCAAAACAAATACTGTAAGGATTGTGTTCATCTTGAGACGTACACCGGAAAGTGCTCAGTAAAGCGAAAGTTGAGAGTCGAGATGAGTGTGGAGGCGTACGGGCCGAGCTCCCAGACCCTCACCTTCCTAGACACCGAGGAAACAGAGTTGCTAGGAGCGGACACCCAGGGCTCCGAATACGACTTCACCGACTTCACCCTTCCCAGCCAGACGCAAACTCAAGGCCAGACCCAGAGCCAGCTGGACAATCAGGTATGTGGCTTTCATCTTCACAGGAAGCAACAATAAAGCGCGGTTTACCGACGTTAGCTGCAGTTAGCTAGGTTAGCTCACCCTGCGCTGCATGCTAGCCCGCTATTATTGGACGTTAGCTAGCTTTAGCTTTAACCGTTAGCTCACGGCTCGCTAAAGAAGCCCGCAAAAATAAACTCATAAAGTAATCTTAGGTGTTTTATCATGTCTGTTTTGAACTATTCTAAGTAAACTATGCATACTGGTGTGACTTTAAAGACCAAATGTAAGCATTAAGAGCATTGACAGCGTGTCAACACAGTATGTATCCTAGCTGCTAGCTGCTAATGTGTAGCATTGAGTTTGTTTGGTAAAGCTTGTGCTGTGCTACAGGTTAATGGTCCTGATGAGGGTCTTCACAACGGTGGAGTGGATGACTCCGTGGCCAAAGCAAGCCAGCTGTTGGCCGAGCTCAACTTTGAGGAAGATGAAGAAGACTCGTACTACACCAAAGACCTGCCTCTGCACGCATGCAGGTACACTGACTCCATGTCAGGATGTCGCTTTATCACTGAGGAAGTGAATTCAGTACACGAGTGTTGTTTTTATACTGTAATTAAAGTTATAATATTTTGTTTAGTTACCTATCTTACACACTACATACAAGGCATAACCCAAATCAATCCATGTTAATAACACTCAGCAAGTGTTGGCTAAATAAGTACAATGCTGGCACATAATCCCTTGAACAGAAAAGGATCCACAACTTCACGTTATGATCCTGTAAGCAAACATAAATACATTCATACACGTAGTAAAAGGGTTTAGCTTTAAAAGTGATCAATACATTTATTATCTTTATACAAAAACATAATTACATTATACATTAATTAGAAAATGTATCATCTCCCAGCCTTGGGATAGATAGTGTTAAAGTTCATAAACATAACTAGGTTAGTAGTATTAATACATTTTACGTTTTCAAACATCAAATACACATGTGACTTTTAGAAGTTAAGTACAGAGAGCTTTATAAAATGTAGTTTACTATGGAAATATTTGTTATGACATGCTACAAACAAGGACCTACCCCTTTTGCTTTGCTCTATGCCTTGCTTTTGGTTACACATATTCTCGTATCTAATTCTGCATTTTTTCAGATTCTGTCTTTGTACATTGTTGTTTTTCAGCTACTGTGGTATTCATGATCCAGCGTGCGTGGTGTACTGCAACACCAGCAAGAAGTGGTTCTGTAATGGACGTGGTAACACATCTGGCAGGTGTGTAGTCCTATTCATCTTCACATGGACATAAAAACACTACAATTTGAACACCTGATGAATTGTATTCAATTATAAAACATACATTACGATAAATGTAGAATGTTTTAATGTTATCACCAAAATCACAAATAGCCAGACTTTTGCCGAACATATTCTGGTGAATGTGTTTAAAGAGAGATCTGCAATGTAATGTTTGCAGACCTTTTCATTCCAAGTGCATTGTTAGGAAAAAAAGTGTGGTCCAAGTTTATGTCATATATGCTGTTGACATTACCATGCAAAGAATAAATCATTGTATGTTTGAAACTGTAAAATAGTCTTTCCAATTGCCTGTTTCTGGTCTGTGGGTCAAAGGGTTCAATTTTGCATCTATCAATACTTTTAAGCAGCAACATTAACAGGGCAAATATGGCTGAGATCAAATAGTTTTAAAGTATTTTCCATTGTTTGATTTCCAGTCACATTGTGAACCACTTGGTGAGAGCCAAATGCAAGGAGGTGACGTTGCATAAAGATGGGCCGCTGGGCGAGACTGTGCTGGAGTGTTACAACTGCGGCTGTCGCAATGTCTTCCTCCTGGGCTTTATCCCGGCCAAGGCTGACTCTGTGGTGGTTCTTTTGTGCAGGTAAGTGCGACTTTTGCAAATATATATATATAATATCAATCTATGGCAGGAAGATTAATCCAATAACTGTAAAAGCCCCTTACACACTGGCTAAGTTTCTGTCTGTATTAACCGTGTTTCTCTCTGCAGGCAGCCCTGTGCCAGCCAGAGTAGTCTGAAGGACATCAACTGGGACAGCTCACAGTGGCAGCCCCTGATCCAGGACCGCTGCTTCCTGTCCTGGCTGGTAAAGATCCCATCGGAGCAGGAGCAGCTTCGCGCCCGTCAGATCACTGCCCAGCAGATCAACAAGTTGGAGGAGCTCTGGAAGGTACACAGCTGACAGGCTAGAGGCTTTTTCTCACGGGTTGCATGTTCAGAGGAAAATCGTCGCCACAACTTTTTAAAATTGAAGTGGCAAGCACAAACTTAAGGTTTTTTAGTAGAACCGGTTAACTGCAAATAGAAACCACCGGTGGCATCGCCGTTTTAAAGGCTTTTGCTACTATACAGTGAATGGAAGAACCTTTTATGAACATTGTTTGTTTTGACTTTGTGTCCTCCCAGGACAACCCCACTGCCACCTTGGAAGACCTGGAGAAGCCTGGAGTGGACGAGGAGCCCCAGCATGTGCTGCTACGCTATGAGGACGCCTACCAGTACCAAAACATCTTTGGGCCTTTGGTCAAACTGGAGGCTGACTATGACAAGAAGCTTAAGGAGTCCCAGGTACCTGATCGGCACTTGTAATTGCGAACCTTTCAAATCATATACTAGTGTTTCTCTTCCTTAAATGTCCATGATTTTATGTGAAGTGCAGTTTTTCAGATGAAATAAAAACATTGACTGCAATGAGAAGTGTTTCTGGTGGACGGCATTTAGCTTAAACACATCATTTTTTTGCGTGTCTATAGGGTTACAGAATGAATGCCTTTTGCCAGTTTTTTTTGTTGATTTTATATGTATGTTTCTCCTTTGCAGACTCAAGATAATATAACAGTCAGGTGGGACCTGGGGCTGAATAAAAAGCGGATTGCATATTTCACACTGCCCAAGACGGACTCAGGTGGTAATTCTACGAGCTTTACTTCCTCCCAGTGGTTCTGTGGTACAGATAGAGCCCCACCCATCCTCATTCAGTCCTGAGAATTGCACGCAACCTCCCAGACCCTCCATATTTTGGTGGCATGTGTGCTTTGTTTTGTTTTTGCCTCTGTTTTTGTAGTGGGTCTTTGTGCGTGCACGGTACTGTATAATTTTGTTTATGATCACAGCCCATCCTCCTTAGTTTATTTGTGAGTCCTTTTGGGCATAGACAGGTCGCTAACTTGTCTTTATATCACTCCCAGATATGCGGCTGATGCAAGGTGACGAGATCTGTTTGCGGTATAAGGGAGACCTGGCCCCGCTGTGGAAAGGCATTGGTCATGTCATCAAAGTCCCTGACAGTATCCTTTACACCTTTTATCAGTTTCATCATCTATTGCATTACAGTGTCTGGCTCGTTACATTGGCACTAGTCCCTAATGGCAAGGTACGGTATTGTCTATACAACTGGACTAGTATAGACAACATAAAATGTACTTCCTTAACGGCTTGTGTTTGAAGACTATGGAGATGAAATTGCCATTGAGCTGAGGAGCAGTGTTGGAGCACCTGTGGAAATCCCGCACAACTTCCAGGTGGACTTTGTGTGGAAGTCCACATCCTTTGACAGGTAGGTGTTATTTTTTTTTTCTCCCACAAATAATACAGGGAGCTTAATTGTTTTCATTGTTTACCCTCTTCACCATCAGATGTGCAGTGATGGATTAGTTAGTGACTCACATTTGTGTTTCTGCAGGATGCAGAGCGCCCTGAAGACGTTTGCGGTTGACGAGACCTCCGTGTCTGGTTACATTTACCACAAACTGCTGGGCCACGAGGTGGAGGATGTGAC